CTGGGGAGATAGCTCAGTAGAATAAGCGTTTGCCTGGCAAGCACAAGGGCCTGACAATCCCTGGTTTCACAAAAAAAAAAAAAAAAAAAAAAAAAGATTCCTATCACGCTGAGACATGTGTTCCCAAAAGGAATGTTTCTAAAAGAAAGATATAATTATCACTATGCTAGAAAAAATGTTGTGTATAATGTGTACAGTCAATAATCAAATGGTGAAAAAGGATTTCCTTTTTCAATTTTATGAAAAAATAAAACAAAATTTCTATTGAAAAATAAGAGAATAACAATAGGTAATATACTGTATATTTTTATCTTCTAAGTAATTATTCAGAGTATAAGACTTAGACCCAGAAAACTCTTATGAAGAAGAAACAAATAGGCGACACAAAATTTTCCTTTTAAGGAGCTAAGATGAGGTGGTAGCTTAAATGAAACACATCAGCACATATAGGACACTATGTTTGAATCAGTGGAATAGGTATTCATTTGAACTTCTCCTTCTCTCTCTTCTATTTTGCTCTTTACTTGCTTCTGTGTATTTGTGTGTGTGTGTGTGTGTGTGTGTGTGTGTGTGTGTGTGTGTGTTCACACAGGAGAAACCAGGAGATATCTCATTTGGTGTGTCTGACTTGTTTCACTTAACATTCTATTCTTTTTTTTTTTTAGTACCCAGAATTGAACTCACATCCTCATGCTTGCCAGGCAGGTGCTGTGCTGCTGAGCTATAATCCTCGGCCATCTATATTATTTCAAGATAATAAAACTGAAAAAAGGATTTCTCTGGTCACTTACCCATGGGGAAGACACCTACAGAATATGTTGAATTATAACCTTGGAAAAATTCAGATTAGCACAGAGTAACCTTTCCCAAAATTGTACAACTTCAAAAGTCTACTTTTTCTACTTAAAATGCCAATGTCATCACCAAATAGGTTGGGGCATAGCTAAATGCGACAGAATGTGGACCATCAGAGATTTGAGGGGTCTTTTTGCAGTTTTTCCTAGAATGGAAGACTATGTTTAGGGCACAATGTAAGCATTTCAACAAGCCTAAATTCCTTAATATATGCAAGGAGAGGTAATGATTTTAGTAACATGCTCCCAAGCTCTTATGAGCTCAACTTGCACTTTGATAAAATGCGGGTCCTTTCTGCTCTAAGAATGGAGAGATTTCCCAGAGGAGGTCAGAGGTGTTCAGAAATTACGGAATGGTCTCCATACTTACATACAAAGACTATACCTGGGAATCAACAGCTTTTCCTCCCTAGTCACTAAAACAGCTACCCCAAATTCCTATCATTAAAATGAAGTCTCCGAGGTCAGTAATGTTTCCCATTCTTTTTAGTAACTGAAGACTTGAAACTGGGACAGGCAAGGGCGAGAAGCCCAGAAACTATTTGTGGAATAAAGCAACAGGCTGTAATCTGCAGCATCTTGTGATGTTCTGACAAAATGACAGTGTTACTTAGGGAATTAATAGAATGAAACCTCGAGTTACGACAAAAACTTCAGGCCCTTCAGTGTTCCGGCTGTATGAATGCAGAGGTGTGTGGCAATGAAAGTCCCATTGCCATAACTCATGCAAAACACCCCCTGCCACACACACACACTTCAAAAACACTCATCCCATCATCATCCGTCATTCTGATCACTTTCTGAAGCAGTTCTGGAAGTTGTCTTTTGTGTCTATATGAGATACAAGTTTCTGCCAGGCAGGAACTGTGCCGCTGAGCTATATACCCAGCCCTAATTTTTTAAAAAAATATAGTGAATACTGTTGCTGAGGGCCATCTGAGAGAAAGACGGGTTCCTAAAAATGTTATAGTATGACTCCACCTACCTTATTTTATTTATTTATTGTTTTGGTACAAGTTCGGGGCCTCACGCTTGCCAGGCAGGCGCTTGTGCTGCTCAGCCATCTCCACGGCTCCTCACCTACCTTATTTACTGGATCTAGTACCATATGACTTCTGTGTTTTATGCAAAGTCCAAGTGACCATGGAAAGTAAGTGGATTGAATCCATTCATGACCTTGAGATAACTGTGATAGTATAGGCAAAGACCCCCTTGAAAGAGGACTTCCAGGGCTGGGGAGATAGCTCAGCAGAGTAAGTGCTTGCCTGGCAAGCTCTTGAGCTCGATCCCTGGTACTACCAAAAAAAAAAAAAAAAAAAAAGAAAAAAGAAAAAAAGAGGACTTCCAGAACTGCTTCACAAAGTGACAGGGACAATAGAATAAGTGAATTCAAATATGGGGGAACATCCTAAGGAAGAGTAATGCCAATATGTCTCTTATTGTGATATATTTTAACAATTATTTGCCATATGTCTACTATTTTTTAAAATGTAATCATCCACCATATATTTCAATCATAGCTCAGCTATACTTTTTAAATTTTATGTATTTAGTATAGGGTCTACAGGGTTTCACTACACAGATCAGACTTGTAGTGATCCTCCTGTTTTCAGCCTCCCAAGCGCTGGGATTACAGGCCGGTGACACCACACCCAGTCTCATTTGTAGTCTCAGCATGCCCTGGGGGTGGGGCTGGCACAGAACGCCAGGGATTGAACCCTTGCCACTGAGCTCTGCCTAAGCAGGCGCTTTACTCTGATGAGCTATCTGGCTGGCCCTTCAGCTATACTTCTTTGAATTACTACCACTCTGTTATATGCCACTGTTCCCAAGGTTTTGCTGGGATAAGTAAGACTTCAGTAAACATCTCTGTGCGATATTTTACTTTACCCAGTCTATGTGATGCAGAATTTTTTATGTGTTACTGACTTTCTGAAGGGTGGCGGTGAATTCTCTAGAGAGTTGGGAGAAAGTTACCTTGTTGCTCAGGTTCACATTCGCATTTCTGCCCAGGAGCAGCGACACCATGTCCACGTGCCCTTCCTGCGCGGCGAGGTGGGCGGAGGCGATTCCTTGCCGGGTAACTGCGTTGGCATCAGCACCATACTCCAGCAGGGTCGTTGCTATGTCCATCTGGTTCTTTTTGGCAGCGATGTGCAGTGGGGTATAGCCATTCTGCGAACAGGAATCACTTGGTCACAGACCCCGTGACAAGACAGCAATGTGCAGAGTGCACCTCCAGGGGGGGCGCCTCTTTTCCTAGTGGTTTTCTGTGACTACTTAGAAAATCATAGCTGAACAAAACACACCATAAAATCCAGTGATTTCATTAATATAGTGCCCTTCTCCATTTCTGGGCTTGGAAGAAAAAAAAAATCTAAGATACAGTTTAACATAACACAGCCAGAGTACCAGCAGTTTTCCAAAAGGAATACAGATTCTCCTTCTACAAGGAACCACATTAGCAGGCACTCAATAACAGCATGTTTCATTAAAATTTAGGTTAGGAAGAGCCCCTCCTGGGAGTAATCAATAACATGGCACCACAGAGGCATGTCTAGAGCCACCCAAATTCCATGTTCAATAGCCCTTTGCTGTGGCTTGAACTTGTCTCCTCGAGTTCTTGAGCTAAAGACTCGATCCCTATGCAACTGCATCGAGAGGAGGGACATTTAAGAGGTGACCCGTCACTGGGCTCTGTCTTTATGAATGAATTAATGCTGCTATTTGAGCCTGGGCTCATTGTCCTGGAAATGAGTATTTGATAAATAGATGAGTTTATCTCCTGTTCTCCTCTCATGCCCTTTTGAGCCTCCATCTTCTGACCTGACAGCACAAGAAGGTCCTGCTGGGTGTGGGGACTTCAGCCGTGGCCCCCAGCCTCCAGGACTGTAGGAAATACATCTATTTTTTTATGCACTGCCTAGCCTCAAAGACCCTGGTGAACAGTAGAAAAGGGACTAATACACCATATGCTTCCAAGAAGTTGTGACTATGTGTTATGGTGGTTGGCTGCCCGCTTGCTCATGTGATTTCCTTTTCCACTGAAATTCAGCTTTGGCGCTCTGCTTCAGCTACATTAGTTATCTTTACGTCTCCAAACAGAGCGCAGCGTCTCCTTCCGCCCTGTCTGACACCATGGAGCAAGCCTTCCTCTGCCACGCCCATGAAACCAGCAAGAACAATTCAAGGCTCAGCTCCACAGCCACACCTTCCTTGAACTCTCCCTTTCCCAATCTCCCTGACGCCAGTACCTGGCTCTCGACCTGATGGATTCTGATCAAAGGTAGCGGGGACATTTATGGAAACTCTTTCATATACATATGTCTCCTGTGAAAATACACATTTGCTGAGTATCTAGTGGGTCATATTTGTCTTTGTAGCTCTCTCTAGTGCCTCAAAATAATCAATAAATATCAATTAAATGAAGAAAAGAAATTTTCAGAATTTGAATTAAGTATACTAAAGCTTCCAGAACTTTCTTTCTCTTGGCTGGCCCCTGATGCTTACAGACCAAAAGTCTTCTGGCACGTTGCCAATTAGCTGTGCCTTAGGAGTCATTGGCTCTCCTGACCTAAGAAAGCTCGGGGGAACTTTGCCCTGGCTCAGTCATTTCAGGGAAATGCAAGGTGGCCCTTATAGATGGACATGAACCTTACTTATAAAGCAAAAGTCAGAAGTGGAAATGTCACCCTATATTTTCCTGAAACCAGCCTCTGCCAAACTCGATGATCCAGAGAAGATGATTTTGTAGTTCTATTTTTAGTTCTGCCCTATTGCCATCTGGAAGTCCCGGCTGCCCTGGATGGCATTGGGCCCTTGGACCAAAAGCTTGACACACCCTACAGAGACCAATGCCTTCAGGTCCCAAAGAGAGCCTTGGACTGAGCCCACTGTTACAGGGCATGACCGGGGCACTGGTTCACCGCTGCACCGTCTCCTACAGGGACACGCTCAAAGCAGCACTGAAGCAGGAAACACGATGAGTCAGTTTGTCTAAAACTAACTAATTAAGGTGGCAAAGGCAAAGTAAGGACAGAATTCAGCTTCTTATCTTTCATCTTATCTCCTTCTGTGTTTGCCCTTGACAACTTTCAAGCAAATCATGTCTAAAATGTATCTTATTTTATATTTATGTATATATTTGGTACAGGGTCTCACTCTGCAGCTCGGACTTGAAGCGATCCTCCTGTTTTCAGCCTCCCCAGCACTGGGATTACAGGCGTGCGCCCCCACGCCTGGACTCCGTTGCCGGCTCAGCATGCCGTGGGGGTGGGGCCGAAATGGCATGTGGTACAGGGAATGGAACTCCAGCCCTTGTGCTTGCCTAAGCAGGCACTTAGTTCCTGAGCTATCTCACAGGCCCAACGAGGTCATTAACAAAGGCTACTCAATGTCTTCTCACACACTGCTATTATATTTTTAATTAGGCCCCAAAATCTCGGGTCTCACCACTTATCAAGGGAAATGTCAGTGTCTCTGGAATGCACACGAATTCCCGACATGTTACTTTTTGTTGCTTAGAGATCTGTTTGAGCACCTTGCCTGAGATACAAAATATAAAGTAAGGGAAAAATGACTGTGGTATTATTTTAGGATGGAAAGTTAATCTTGGAAAGACTTAAATATTTTCAAGTAATAAACAGTTTATCTCAAAACCCACAAAGTTTTTTCTATTTTCTGGGAAGTATGATGATTCTCATTTGCCACACTAAAGAAGAAAGATGCACTAATTAGAATAAAATAGGGAGAAATTCAACGGTGGAATAATCTTAATCTCCATTTCACTCCTTTGGTGTAGAAGACAAAATGCTTGGAAGGATGTGTCTGCAACTCAATTTGAAAGTCAGAGCAAAAATAGTTTTTAGTGACCAAAAGTGATGTATAGTATTTATATCACTTTGTATTTTTCCTAATAGATTTCGAAAACACACTGATGTACATTAACAAATATGTTTTACATTTTATGAAAGGGAGAGCTCACAAATAATAAGTAAAGGTTCGCTATTTTTTTCCATAATTAGAGTTCAGGTTGAGCCTGGATTTTGGCCAGTCTTCTTTCCAGCAGTGTCCTGCCTCAGGAAGTAATCTGGCTAAAAAGGATTAGAGCAGCACATCGTGTGTGTGTGTGTGTGTGTGTGTGTGTGTGTGTGTGTGTGTGTGTATGTGTGCGCGCGCGCGTGCGTGCACGCATGTGCGTCCTACTTATCCAAAATCACATGATGATTGTAGGACAGTGTAAGAAAGCATATTGCCAATTTTCAAAAAAATGCTAAGAGGGCACCACATACTTCAAGAAAAAGGGCATAAGGGATAATTCTAAGGCAGAGCTAACCCTGAAGTCGCTGCTGTCCCATTCGCATAATAATCATCCCTGGCTGAGGTTTTGTCGCTCCTGCGTCAGCGGAACGCCTGGGCCTCCGGCGAGCAAAGGACGCAGACTGCCCACTCTGCGCACCCTCCTTACTTGCTTGTGCTGCGGAAGAACCACAGGCATCGCGCACAGCTGAAAAACTACATTTCCCAGCTTTCCTTCCAGACAGAAGTGACCAATGAGCTAGGGGGAGAAGTGGTGGGCGGGGAACGTGGGAAAGCCCCATCCTGCTGACTTTCCCGCTGCCTGCTCCTAGTAGAGGGTGAGCTGCAGCTGCCACCAACAGCAGAGCAAAACCAACAAAGCAAAACCCAAAGACAGTGAGTTTGCTTCAAGTTGCTGACAACACTGAACTGTCGCCACCAATTGCTTAGCCTACGTCCTGACTGTTCAGGACATAAGAAAAACGGAGCCTTATTGGTTTAAACCACAAAAGAGCGGACTTTTGTTTTTCCTAGTAGTAAAGCTATCCTTAACTGATATAACTGGCTTTGCTCAGGATCGGAAGTCTAGGAAAAGCCTCTGATGAATACCACTGCCTGAAGACAGAGAGGACAGAACCCGGAGCCAGAGAGGGCATTAAGTAGCCAATTGAGCTTCGGGAAAGGGAATCAGTGACCCGTTAGAAAAGCCAGTGTTTAACTGACTGTGAAAGATGTGCCTACGGCTAATGGGATGTTATAAGGAGCTAAAGTGCTGCTTTTTAACTATTTGTCGAAGTTATTTTGCAGATATGATACCATAAATGTTAAATCTGTTTTGACAAATAGAAAGCTAGAAATCAACGATGGAGATAGCAGTTGGCTACTGGCCTGTTTTAAGAGTTACTCAGACATGGAAAGATAGGTGAACGCACTTTTTTGTATGTATCATTTTGTAACTTGTGTCGGATCTTATCTCGTTGGCACTGGTTGTGCCAAAGTCATTACTCTCCAAGGAGTGATATTGACTGTTTACTGCTTGCCTACCAAGACCTCGAGGTTACTTATGAGAAAAGGAACCTAAATGCACAGGAATATCAAAAAAACTAGAATAAACTATACAACCATCAGATTCCATTGTAGATTTTCTTCTTTAAAAACTATGGTAGGGGGCTGGGAAGATAGATCAGTAGAATAAACACTTGCCTGGCAAGTGCAGGGTCTGAGTTCAATTCCCGGTACCGAAAAAATAAATATATAAATAAACAAACAATGGTAGGACTTGGAGTGTGGCTCAGTGGGAGAGCAGTGGCCTAGCACACGCATGGCCTTGGGTTGATACAGCAATGAAGAACATGAGGATAAAATATACATAACAACATTTCGCACTGCAAGCTTTTTTTTATGTATGTCGGTCAGTGGAACGAAGTGCCTTTATGTTGTCTGCTAATGACCACCACTGCCCGTCTCTGGAGCTTGTCCCTCCTTCCAGAGTGAAACCCTGCATCCATAAATACCAACTCCCAGCTCCTTCCTACTCCTTCCCTTGACAGCCACTCTGCTGCCTTTGTCTCTGAATGTGACTATTCTATGTGCCTCACGGGTAGAATGGTGCTGTGTTTGTTCTTTGGTGCATGACTTATTTCCGATGACATACTGTCTTTAATGTTTACTCGTGTAGTAGCATGTGTCAGAATTCCCATTTTATGGCTGAATAATGCTCCATGATGAGAGTGTGTGTGTGCACGCGCATGCATGTAAGTACACACAGACTCCTTTGGTTACTCATACACTGATGGACATTTGGGTTCTTCTCACACTTTGGGATTTTAAATTTTCTTCTAAAAATAAAGTTTATTAAATTAAGGTAATTCTTGACAAACAATCTGCATGATAGAACAAATGTCAAGGTCAGAAATTATGGGGGGAGCTCACATACAGACGAAAAACAGATTTACTAGTTTGGTTTTGAACTAGTTTCTCTGGGTTCGGTTCAGGCGATTCTGGGCCAGGAAATGACTTGAAGTGTAGAAAAGAGGCTCTGAAGAGAAGCTCCTGTCCAGGACAACATTGTTTCTAAATGGAAAAAGTGCCTAGAATTTTTTCATTTAAAGAATCTAAAATGAGTTACAACAGGCCAGGTTCATTAACCTGTGTACAATTGACTTGACCTAAATATTAGTTTTAGAGGACAACATTGAAGCTGCCTCCAAATGGTAAAGTGAGACAAAGAGGCAAACTAATTAGTGATGTTGAAAGGTCTTTCAACCAATAGGATGTACGAAAGGAATTGGACATCATTATAAATTGTAACTCATTGGCCTGTGAGATAGCTAAATTATTTTAACCCAACTTTACTTGAACTCTGTTTTGTCGTCTGCCAGTCCAGGCTGACTACCAGAGCAATAAAACAGCTGTACCCTCTGTACATCTTAGCCTTTTCTCAAAAATCTATGCTGTCTCCTGGTCAAAAATGCCCTAGAAGTCAAGATTTCCCAATTGCAATAATAAAAACACATGCAAAACATTCCAACCAATTTTACAAAGCCTAAACAACTCAGAGGTGATGTTTCATGGCCTGGAAAGTGTAACACATCTTTTATAATTGTGACAGAGCAGAACTTTCTTGCTCCTGGCTGCGCTTATGTTTTAAATCTGGCTAAAGCGTATTCCAGCTTCTTTTCTTCTCCAGGCTCCAGGACATCCTGGATTTTTTCCAGAGAGACCAATCGACCAGTAAATATCTATGGAGCATCTAGTGTGTTAGTTGGCTAACTAGCTTTCCTAGGTGCTCTAGTTAATGGTGTCTGGAAGAGGAGGACACTGCAGGTGAAGCAGAAGGAGGTGTGCAAGCAGGGCCTGCCAGAGCTTGCCCAGCAGCCCCTCGGGCAGTGGACTGGAGGTACCTTTGCAGCCGCGTGAGGAGAGGCTCCTTGGTCCAAAAGCAGAAGAGCCACTTTCTGATTATCGTAATGTGCAGCTACATGCAGTGGAGTTAGGCCGCTCTGAAAACGTGCAAAAACAACAGTGAGGGTCAAGGGTGCTTCAAGAGGAAGGCCTAGATTTAGGAAAGGGATTAGATTAGATTAGATTAGATTAGATTAGATTAGATTAGGGACATCACAAAACACTGTATGTCCCAGCACCACGGCACTTGCATGAAGCTTCGTCTGTTCTTTTCCTACTGTTCTTCTTCCTGGTGGGACTTAAGTAGGGCTTAGTTATCACTGGGCTCCTCTCTGGGGCATATTTGCAAGTGCTTTTTTTGCATGACAGAGTTGCCTGCTGCAGAGTGGCCCGTGGCCTCCTACCTTCCCAGCAGCGTCTGGAGAGGCGCTTTTCTGTAGCAGGAGATTGGCTACTTCAAGTTTTCCATACTTTGCTGCCACGTGAAGAGGAGTAAATCCTTTCTGTAATAGAAGACGTCAAGGAAAATAGAAATGACAAAGGGTTCTGCTCTTCTGGAAATGGCAAATTGTTCTAATAATGACAAGCAGTGAAATGTATACTTAGGGGCCAAGGCTGGCAGGTAATGGCTAAGGAGTCCCCCTATTGTAGAGATAAGCAGAATACATGGAGAGAATCTCTGTGCACTGACTGAGCTGCAGCATCACACTAATTCTAAAACTAATTAGGTATCTAGTCGGGGCTCTGAATCTGGGGATTATTCCAGGATCATTTGGGGATTTTATGCTGCAGAGAGAATGGGCCATAAGGCCACAGATCCAGGTTGGAGGGGATGGGAAAATGCAGGGCAAGTTGGGACCTCTCATTGTCACCGACCCGAGCCTGGACACTCTTTCCTCTGTCCCGACCTCCCGGTAAGTGCACATAACATCTACATGCATACTCCAGGATTTAGGAGTCAGAAACTCTCTTACATGGGCCACAGTAGGTGAACTAAGCACAGACACATTGAAGAACTGGGTGCTCAGAGTTTGTGGCTATTCTCCTAACACCGGCAGGGACCTAGGCATCACTAGTCGGTGTGTACCCTTTGCTAGGGTCCCAAGCATGCGGCAGGCTTGAGACCATAAATGCATATGCACCAGAGACCAGCAGCATAGAGCCAATGGGCAGCTGGCATGGAGGGGAGCGGGGAAAGCCCAGCTCCTGCACCCATGATTTTGTTTCACCTATTAAGTGAGATCCAGGAACTGCAGAACCCAGAGAATCACAGGAGATGAGGTCTGAGAGGCCATCATTTATTCATACAGTTCCCCAAGTATTTACAATTACCTTCTGTATTGATTACACATTAAACCTTCTTACCCACATCCAAATTAGAGACAGCAATGCTAACGACTGTCTTTTTAAGATCTGTCATAGGCCAGTTCATCTCCCTGGTACATCTGCTAGATTTATGCAGCATCCCCAGAAAAATGGGCTCCAAGTTTTGCATTTTGCACATGTACAGAAGCCATGTGCGAGGCTACCAGTGTAAGATATTAGTTGATCTTAAAAAAAAAAAAAAAACAACTATAAATCAGACAAGACAGTAATAATGACAACAAAAAGAACAGTAAAAATACAGGAAAAGAAAAACTTCTTAATTGGAATGGTTTATAAAAGCATCAAAGAAAAACAGTGCGAGGCGTGGTGGTGCACACCCAAGGACGGGACTGCTGTGAGTTCAAGGCCCGTCTGGACTGCTTAGTGAGAATGTGAATGAAGAAAACCAAAATAAATAAGCAAGCAAGCCAACAAAATAAAAGGCTTCAGCCAGAGCTCTGGTAACACGGCCATGTACTTGCCTCCGGAAAAGGAACCCTAAGAATGTTTTCACCTCCACAGCACCACCCTCCTGCAGCCCACCCACCCACAGCGCGAGGGACTCCCGCAGGGTCTGTGCAGCCTTCATATTGTCACTGTGCAGGAATTCACAGGAAGCTATGTTCTGTGGGACATGGCAGGGTCCCAGGATGTGTTTGCGTACCTTTGTTGTTATGGATAAAGATGCTCCGTGATCCAAAAGGAATGCAGCGACATCCTCGTGCCCCTCTCGGGCCGAGAGGTGAAGCGGGGTGTATCCAGACGTCGTGGCTGCATTTGGAGACGCTCCCTGCTGCAACAGCTGCTGTACTATATCTGCCTTCCCCAATCGGGCTGAAATGTGGAGTGGGGTTTGGTCATCCTAAATGGTGAGGCAGAAACCACAGCTGATGAGCTTGGGAAGTGACAGCGCAGTGTGAGAAGCTTGGAGCATTCGCTGCTTCGTGTCAGGCACGCTCAACTCCTGGATGCTTGCTAAGGCATCTATCTTGCTTACCTTCTTACAAGGTTCAGACGTGGGATAGTGGAGCTGAGCTCCTTCAATTCCCTAGAGTGGCCTAATTACTGTGGAACCATGAAAGGCAGCTCAGTTTCTAAATCATCTGCACCATCACCTGTCAGAGTATCAGCTTTTTTGTATTTTAAGGAAGGGTCCACAGGGTGTTCAGGGTCTCACTGCTAGATCAGACTCGTAGTGATCCACCTGTTTACAGCCTCCCAAGAGCTGGGATTACAGGCGCGCGCCACCACGCCCAGTCTTATAGTATCAGCTTTTAACCTCTCCTGATTCCTCTTACAGGAGGTAAGAGAAGGGATCCTCATCACATTCCTGAGCCTGGAGGCACATCATAGTCCACGAGTATTATGCACTCATAAGGACTTTATTAGCGCCCCTTCCCATAGTTAATAGCAGAGGGAAGGCAGGTGGCGGGGGGGGGGGTACCGCGGGTGTCCTCCTGAGGGCACTCCCTCCAAGAGGCGGACAGGTGCTGGTGCTGTGCTAAGCTGTGTATCCGGAATCACATCCACCTGAAGAGGTGTAGCCTTGCAGTCTCCCCATGAACCATGATGTGGTTCAGGTAAACACGGTATGAAGGAAGGGTAAAGGAGAACACACCGTCTTGGATGAAGGTCTGAGTCAACCCAGCAGGTGGGCGTGTGTCAGGGCAGAAGCATGAACAGAGTGAGGGGAGATGCCCTGGGGGAGAAGAGGAATACTGAGGAGGGGGATGGGTGCCAGAGAGCACCCTCAGCTACTTCTTTTTTTTTTTTTTTTTTAGGAAGTCTTGCTATGCAGTTCAGGATGGCCTTGGAACTCACTCTGTGGCCCAGGGAGGTCTTGAACTTGCAGTGATCCTCCTGCCTCACCCTCCTGAATTCAACCACTTCTACTGCTGCCACCGTAGCCACCAAGCATTTACTAAACATCTAGAAGTCTGTGGTGGCTCTCAAGGACCCAGACTAAACGCTGAGGCTTGTCAGAACCTTGGTACCAGCCATGGCTCTCCAGCTTACAAAGGCGTGACGGTTTGTCCCTACACCAGGCCTTTTGTAGTAACTGCTAGTTTTTTTTTTTTTTTTTTTTTTTGGAACAGGGGATTGAACTCAGGCCCTTGCACTTGCCAGGGAAGCACTTATTCCACTGAGCCATCTCTCCGGCCCCTTGTCTCATATTTGTATCAGTTACTATAACTGTATAAACAATGCTTTAACAGGTAAAATATGAGTATAAAGGGAAAAGAAGGGGTTTTGCTTATAGGAATAGTGAATTGAAAGCTTTAAGGAGCCTTGAGAGCAGTTGATTAAAAACAATTTTGGTTAAATTAGACATGGGAGAGATAGCTGAATACCCTAGTATTGAGTAAAGTTTAGAAATATTCTATAGTCAGATTTCTTCACAAATACCTTTATTTTCTCTCCAATTGATCTAAAACTAGAAACTATACAAGCAAATGGGAATATGTGTACATTTATATATTGAAGTATAAAATTGATGGTTGAGATTTTTATGCACGTCTGATTCTTGACATGAACTGTCACATTGTAATCAGTCCAGGCACTGACCCCCGAGTGGAAAGCTTGTGGGTTTCTATCAAATGCTGAACTCTTCTCTTACATGTAAAAGCAAATCCTCAGAGCACCTTCCCTGTGAGTCTCAGGAATTATGGTTCCCAATGTACAGAGAAAAAAATATCCTTTCCCCTTTTGTGGCTCTACCAATGGACATATAATTCACCCAGAAGAGCTCAGTTAGGTTAAGCTGTGCTTGTTCTAGAAGCTGTCTGCCATCCTCTCTCCATCCAGTGTGGCCAACTCTGGACATAGATTCAGTTCCTGATTTATCAGGGACAGTTTGGGGCATGTTATTGTTCTACTTAGTTTTGTTAAATGATTGATTGGATACATATGGATACCAGGGATTTTTACTCTGTTACTTGAGCAGAGACTTTTATTTTTGGAAGTTACTTACATTATTATTATTATTATTTTAATGCATTTGGTACAGGGTCTACAGGGTCTCATTATACAGATCAGACTCGTAGTGATCCTTCTGTTTTCAGCATCCCAAAAGTGCTGGGATTACAGGTGTGTGCCACCATGCCCAATCTCAATTGTCATTTCAGAGCACTCTGGGGATTGGGCCAGCACAGCACGTGGGAACTGAACCTTGTCCCTGATTCTGCCTGAGCAGGCCCTTTAATCCACTGAGCTATCTGGCCAGCCTATAACTTACATTCTTAAAAAAGTGTTTTTGAGAGACATCACAGACATGTTTAAAGACTTTGTTAAAATCCCAGCTCTTCCCCCTCAGTAGAAAAGGTTCGTGTGCTGCACTTACCTTAGCTTTAGCTTCTACCTGAGCTCCGTCTTGCACCAGATACCGCACGACTTCTGCCTGGCCTGAGCGCGCCGCCATGTGCAGGGCTGTTTCTCCTCTCTGGGGGACAGGAGCCAAAGCAAGTTAGCTGTAGCTCTGAAGAAGACTGGGATGCTTCATTTGGCATGAAGCTCACAATAAACTTTATAAATGAAGATTTGCCTTAAGCCCTTCCTTATGGAACAGATAGGAAAGTGAGCACACAAGCCATTTACAGGAACTTGGGCCAAGGTGGCGAGGACTGCAGGGTCACCCTAGGGCCTTGTCACTGACAGCGCCAAAGCGTTGCCCAGGAGACTCTGTGTAGCCTCAGTGGGGCCAGAAGGGCGAATGCTCACAGGATTCGAGCAGGCAGTGAGTGAGTGAGGCAGGCAGTTAGGGGAGTGCCACCCAGAGGGGCCGCTTCCACCTCGCCCTGCAGGGTGCTGTTTGCCTGTGCAGGGGCCAGCCCTACCACCCTGCACCTTTGTTTCCAAAAAGGACAGCACTGTGATGTCTGTGTACATACATTTTCCAGCCCATATGTTGTTGACTCTGACATCAGAATTGTAAGCAACACTACATGGACACCAAAAAACATACTTGAGGGCCAGATGGTCCTTATTTACAGTAGCTGCTTTGTGTCCTCTGCTTTATCCAAACTGAGCATCATCCTACCCCATACTTTGTCACAATGGTCATTTTCTTTGCCTAATATGATGAGGCCAAATTTGAAATCCTGTAAAACAATGTCAAATGCCACATATAGATCTAGGGTGATGAGTGACTGCCTGATAGCTGCTCTGAAGGGTGTGTCTTGATTCTCACAGCAAGGCTTAGCATGTAAAACATTGCTGTGTAATTGTAGAATTAGTTCCATGGATTTTGTATAACATGGTGGAGTATGTTTAAGAGAGATTTTGAACTTGCTTGAAATTAATTCATATAAATGACGTGGTGCTTGAGCTACTGCCTTAACCTGGAGCACATTTTACTGCTTTTGTTATAGAAAAATCCCCATACCCATAAATGCTTCATTTTAAAAAATGTAATGTATAATAGTAATGTACTTATAACATTAATGAACACAAGCCACAAGTCCTAAAACTTTGTGGCCAACTAACCAATGAATGGATTTTGTCTTCTAAGTAAAGGAAACAAAAAATGTTCTCAAAGTTTATCTTTTCAAATAGTCAAATTAAGTATAATAAAAAGGCAAGTAAATAAAAGTCACCTGTGCAGTTTCTCAAATACTGCTGAACACTTACCACATTTGTGGTGTTCGGTGAAGCTCCGTGATGCATTAGTTGTGACACGATGTTTACATGCCCCATGAAGGCAGCAACATGGATTGGGGTAAGGCCCGACTAAGGGGAAGGGAAGCAAGGGTCAGCTGTTGGCTTAGCATTCAAAGGTTTATTTGTCCATATGCCTGCCTGCCTGCTCTCCATCCACCCATCCATTTATCCATCCATTTACCCATTCATTTATCCATCCATCCATCCATTTATCTATCCATCCATTTATCCATCCATCTACCCATTCATTTATCCATCCATCCATCCATCCATTTATCTATCCATC